ATCACACATTTTCATAAATCACACATTCAAAAATTAAAATGAATGGATATAAAAATGGAATTAAAATCGTGCATACTTTTGAAAGCAGAAAATTCAAAATTAAATTAATGTATACCTTCCATTAAAAACTCTTGCTCTTTTTACCAGCAAGCGCTTAAACTTTATTTATTTTTATAATATACTAGTTTAATTATTATACTATATTATATATAGTATAATATTAAAACTAGTATATTATAAAAAATAATAAAAATATAAGCGCTTGCTGGTGGAAAGAGCAAGAGTTTTTAATAAAAGTTATACATTAATTTTATTTTATTATATATTTTTAATTTTAATATATATATATACATATATATATATATATATATATATATATATATATATATATATATATATATATATATATATATATATATATATATATATATATATATATATATATATATATATATATATATATATATAATATATATATATATATATATATATATATATTGGTTGAGTAGAGGCTAGAGATGGTGTCTCAATAAAAATACTCATCTAGGGCAGATGTTACATGCAGCCGGCTGCTGTCTTGTAGAAGGCCTCCTAGGCAAAGACTTAAGGGGTAAACAGATTCTATCTCTTGACCAGCCTCGCACCCCTTCTTCATCTATTAGGCTGGCACAGATGTATTTTTAATACATTGTATTCAGTTTAGGATGTTGAACGCTGGATCTTCTTGACTCGATTCATGGGTTTTGCTTATGTCTCTGTTTTTATGACTAGGCAACTCATTCTATTATCTCCAAATGAGGGTAAAGCTCTAAAACTCAGTTTTATGGTTCTGAGGCCAGCTGGTAGTCAGGTTTCCCGAACTCTGGGGTAGTTCTCAAAGATGCTGATTCCATCAACAGCTGAAAAATATCAGAGTACTAACAGTGCCATGTTGCGCATGGATGGTGTCCCTGTTTGTACTTTTGGTGTGCATTGCAAAGGCCAAATTGGAGCCCTTTGTTAGGGCTTAGGGTTTATTAGTGGAAATGAGGCAATTGCTTGAGCTATAAAACAGTGTACTGAGTACTATCTATGTTTTGAGTCAAGTTCTTTAACAAATTTAAAAATGAATAAAGAAACAAAAACTATAAAACACAAAAAACCACAGTCATCACCAAGTTCACTAAACCTATCATTCACCAATATTCGTGGTCTTCAAAGTAACTTTTCTTCTGTTGAGTCTTATCTCTTGCAAAGTTCACCAGACTTGACTTACTTGCTCTTTGTGAGACTAATTTGAGTTCAGCTGTCTCATCTTGTGATCTTAGTGTTGATGGTTATCTTCCTTTGATTCGTAAAGACTCCAATAGTCACATGCTTAACCTGGGCATTTACATCCGTAAGAATTCACCCATTTTTCGAGAAACTAGGTTTGAATCCACAGACTACTCTTTTATGTGCTTTCGTCTAGCACCACTTCACTCTATCACCTTTCTCTTTGTTCTATATCGTTCTCCCTGCACTCTTCTTGATGTTATTTCTGATTATATTGACCAAGCCCTCATTCTTTATCCATCAGCCAATATTGTTGTTGTCGGTGACTTTAATGTTCATCACACTGAATGGCTTGGCTCTAGTGTCAGTGACTCTGCAAGCATTAAGGCCCACAACTTTTGTCTTTCTCAATCCCTAACTCAAATAGTCAACTTTCCAACTCGCTTTCCAGACAACCCAAATCATTTACCTTCTCTACTCGACTTATGTCTTGTTTCTGATCCTAGTCAGTGCTCAGTTTCTTCACACTCACCCTTAACTGCTTCTGATCATGGTTTGGTCTCTCTAAAACTATTATCTCATTCTTCTTTACCATCAGAAACCCCCTATCATCGTACATCTTACAACTACCTTAAAGCTGACTGGGACTCTTTCCGTGATTTTCTTCGTGATGGCCCCTGGGTAGAAATCTTTCGTCTCCCTGTTGACAAATGTGCTTCTTACATAACTTCGTGGATTCAGGCTGGCATGGAATTGTTTATTCCCTCTCAACGATTTTAGGTCATACCTCACTCTTCTTCATGATTTTCCTCACATTGTGCTGCTGCAATTGCTAATCGAAACCACTACTTCCATATCTATCAGCAAAACAATTCTCCAGAAAACAGACGTCTGTTTATTACTGCTAGGAACCATTGTAAAAAGGTTTTGTCTAACGCCAAAGCCCGTTATTCTCAGATCATGAAATCTTGTATTTCATCACAAAAATTAGGCTCTCGTAACTTCTGGAGAATTTTTAATAGTATCAATAATAAGGGCAAGTCTGTAATTCCACTTCTTTTGTATGGTTCAGACTTTGTCACCTCACCTAAAGACAAAGCTGAATTGTTTGCCAAGAACTTTTCATCAATATCATCTCTTGATGCCACTAGTTGCGTTCTACCTAATATAGCCGTCAAACAGGTTGATCCATTGCTCGACATTCGTATCACTCCAGCTACAACTCCATTGCTTGACATTCGTATCACTCCTTCTGTATCTAAAGTGATTTCCCGCTTAGACTCTTCTACAGCTTGCGGCCCGGACAACATACCTGTTATAGTCTTGCAGAAGTGTTCTCCGGAGCTGTCGCCTATCCTTTCAAAACTATTTAACAAGTGCTTATCAGAGTCTTGTTTTCCAGCCTGCTGGAAAGCAGCATCTGTTATCCCTATTTTTAAAAATTATGGAGAGCGATCTGATTCATCTAACTACCGTCCCATTAGTCTTCTTCCTATCATAAGCAAGGTTTTTGAATCTTTAATTAACAAACACTTAATCTCGAATCTCGAATCTCATAACCTACTTTCTCGTCATCAATATGGATTTTGATCTTCTCGTTCTACGGCTGATTTGCTATCAGTAATAACCGATAGGTTTTATCGCGCATTAGATAAAGGTGGAGAGGTTAAGGCCATTGCTCTTGACATTTCTAAAGCGTTTGATATAGTTTGGCAAGCTGGTCTTCTCCATAAGCTTTTTTCTTATGGTGTATCTGGAAACATCTTTAAGATTATTGAATCCTTTCTTTCCAATCGTAGTATAAAAGTTGTCCTTGATGGATAGCACTCTTCTTCTTATTCAGTAACCTCAGGGGTTCCCCAAGGTTCAATCCTTGGCCCTATACTCTTTTTAATTTAAATTAACGATCTTCCAGATTTTCTCACATCTAAGGTGGCATTTCAATTTTTTCGGCCAATCGTTATCGCAATAATTTAGACCTTCCTATATTTATGAACGGTAATGTACTCGATGAGCTTCCTACCCTTCATCTTCTAGGATTAACTCTTACTTCTGATCTTTCTTGGAAACTTTATATCAAATCCGTTGCAAAATTAGCATCTGCTAAAGTTGCTTCTCTTTATCAGGCTCGTCACTTTCTTACTCTGGATTCTATTCTTTATCTCTATAAATCTCAAATCCAGCCTTGAAAGAGCTAGCGTCTCTTGTGCCATCTTGAAAGAGCTAGCGCCTGCTTGAAAGAGCTAGCGTCTCTTGTGCCATCTACTAAAATTCATTCTCGTGTTACTCGTCATTCAATTAAGCCTCATCCTTTTTCTGTTACTGTTCCTAAGTGCTCCAAAAACTCTTATTCGTCTAGTTTTTTTCTTCAAACATCAGTTCTTTGGAATTATAATTTGCAATCTTTTAAGTCGTCTGTCAATCGTAATCTTGCTCTACAATCTTCATCTTTTCTCTTCCAGTAACTTCCAACACTAATTAGTGGTTGCTTGCAGCCTTGTTGGAAGCGAAGATAATTAAAAAAATATATATATATATATATATATATTTATATATATATATATATATATATATATATATATATATATAAACTTATATATATACAGCTACTATACCAAAGACGACATAAAAGCATGCAATTAGAATTATATATATATATATATATATATATATATATATATATATATATATATATATATATATATATATATATATATATATATATATATATATATATATATATAAACATAGATATAAACATATAGATATAAACATATATATATATACAAACATATATATATATACAAACATATATATATAAACATATATACATTTTGCACACAAGCAATAATGTTTTGAGTTTTTTTTTCTTAGTAAAATACAGAAAAAGAGAGTTTTAAAAGGAAAACATTGCAAAGAGAATAAATACACAATCAAACAGCTACTATACCAAAGACGATATAAAAATTACTAAACTACAATTATAAGTTTTAACTTTACTAACTTTTCCTTTTTTTTTTGATGATCCCGAAATCTCTGGAAATTTTGGAGACTTATCCCAGAATTTCTGGATAAACAATTTGTACAAAATCCCAGGATTTTGGGATCCCGGGATTGCCATCCCTAATTTTAACTAAGAGTTTTATGCAAACTGCATTCATAAGGGAAAACTATGGTTTTTCTGGTGAAAATATTTATATTTTTCTAAAGAAATACATTTATTATGCCATTTGAATATTAGTTTTCATTTAACAATTATTATACAATATATATTATATATTTTTTATTTATTATTTTTATTCTTATTTGCAATTCTTTTATACTTTTGTAAAACAAAATCATCACATTTTAAATAAACATATGGTTACCTATAAATAACCATAAATCATACAAGAGTAATATATATATATTCATTAGTTAACTTTGAAGATGTGAATTAAACAACAGCATAGGTAACTGTTTAAATAAACAGTTATAAACAGTAATCAACATAATAGAACTTTATTGTTAAAAAAAAAAATTTATTGTATATTAATAATTGTTAATAAATATTTATAAAAATCTTATCAAGTTTATAAAATTTATAATAGTTAAACTAATTTTATCACAAAAAAATACAAAAATATTTACATAAATGATAATAAATAAAAATAATTTCAAACTTATATAAATGATTATTATATATAGAATAAATAATAAATTTATAATAAATAACATTTATCAATAGTAAATAAACCTTTACTAACCTTGTAACGCTGCTCATCTTCAGTTGCAAACTCCTAAATAAAAACAAGTTCTGGAATTAAAAAATGTTTTTAAATATTTTTAAAGTAAAAAGTTTTGAGATTTAAAAATGTTATAATTTAATTTTAAATATTTTGTATAATTTTTTTAAAAACTTATAAAAGTCTGGTCAGGGTCATAATGATTACCCTGCTAATGGTATTATGTTATTCAGTATAACCTGCTCTGTATCTTGCAGCCTTAAGTACCTAAAAATATTAAGTACCTAAATCCATCACCAGATTGTTTCAATCTATCTTTTACAAATATTCCTGGTCTTTAAAGTAAGTTCTCTTACTCTTGCAAAATTCAGCTTAGACATTTACTTTTTCACCTAGATATATACTTAAATACCAATTCAGTTGTCACAAAATCAGATTTGAATCCTCTGGCTACTCATGTACATCCATTTAGCATCTCTTTACTCAATCACCTTTTCATTTGTTCTTTATCATTCCCTTTCTTCCTAAAGCTGAACTCTTTTCAATGTTGTTTCAGAATTGGCCACAATAAATAGAAAGATTTTGATCAATGTTTCATTCATTCTTTCATTTTATTCTTCAGTCAATATTATTGTTATTGGTGACTTAAATGCTTATCATACTGAATGACTTGGCTTTAGTACTACTGACCCTGCTACTCTAAAGCTGAAAATTTTTATCAATTTAAGAAATTGTTTTCCATACAATCCTAATCACTTACTTTTATTCCTTGGTGTTCTGCCTTTTTCCTTGTTCTTTTTTGGTGTTTCAGCAATGCTATGATCTTACTAAAAATTTGATCTCATTTGCTTCAGACTAACCCTATCATTGCATTTCTTTTTACTTAGGGTGAATAAAAAACACTAAAGTGATCCCACTTTAATGTTTTTCTTCTGCGATGGCTTTTTGCCTCTTACCTAAAAATTGCCTCTTCAATGTAATCTTTGGATTCAGGCATGCTTTTATTCCTTATCATCAGCTTTATGTCAAGCCATAGTTTGTACAGCTGCAATTTCTAATTGTAATCATTTATTCTCACAAGATTTTCACAAAATAAACTTTCTTTAAAAAAAAATCTTTTTATCATTGCAAGAAATCAATGCAAAAAGGTGTCACCTGCTAAACTATTATTTTTAAATTACTGATCTCTAAATCTACTGAATTTTATTTAACAAATTAGGTTCTAGAGATTATTGGAAAATTTAATTTTTATTTTATATTACATTTTATCAAGTATCATCAACAAAGGAAAATTAATGAAATATTCTAAATCTCTAATGAAATATTAGATTTTCCTTTGTCGATGATTGATCTTATTACCTTTTCCAAGGGCAAGGCAGAACTATTTGCAAATAACTTTTTGTGTTGATTTTTCTAATGGTTAATTTATCTAATGGTTAATCCATTGCCAGACATCCAAATTAATCCTGCTTTTATTGTTAAAGATATTTTTCACTTTTTTTCTTGCTATTCTCACGAAATCTCGTATCATCTCAAAAATCAGGCTCCCAAACCCTCTGGAGAATCTTTAACAGTTTCCATAATAAAATCTGTTATTCCTCCTCTCTTGCATGACTCCGATTATGTTATTCGCCTAAAGACAAAGCTGAATTGTTTGCTAAGGACTTTTCATCAATCTTATCTCTTGATTTTACTAATCTCATCCTACCTAATATAGCCAATAAACAGGTTGATCCATTACTTGATATTCGTATCACTCCATTCTGTATCTAAAGTGATTTCCTGCTTAGACTCTTCTACAGCTAGTGGTTCGTACACATACCTGTTATAGTCTTGCAGAAGTGTTCTCTGGAGCTGTCATCTATACTTTTAAAACTATTTAACAAGTACTTATCAGAGTTTTGTTTTCCACCACCTTTTATCCATCAGTTATAACATCTATTATCCCTATTTTTTTTATTAAATTATTAAAGAATATTATACATAATTACATTTATATAAATATGTTTTTTAATAAATCTTTTTAAACCTTTTCTAATTAACTTTATAAACACTTTTAATAGCAAAAAACTTTAGCGTAAAAACAAACAATACATAACAACTCAAATTTAATAGTGTAATAAAAAGTACTGGTTTCTATAACTATTAAAATAACTATTACATTAAAATTTTTTATAAAAAAAATTTGAAAGGGGTTTTAAAGACTAAAATATTTGTTTGAAATTTATAAAAACGAACAGACAAAAAAAAAAAAATACTTAACTATAAATTTAAACTAAAAACTAATTGCAACATTTTAATATAAATGATAAAAACCGGGCTACTAAATTCAAAAAAATGTAATGCTTTAGCATTTTTTTTTTAATGAATTAACTAAAACAAAATGACATATTTCATTAACGTAGCTGTGTGTTCAGCTTCAATTTTTTATTTTGAATAAAAAATAAAAAGTTCAAAAAATGAAGTTTATATACAATACTGAACTTATTATATAATTTTTGAAAAACTAAAATGATTATAAATTAAATGCACATAAAACATGGGTCAGACAAATTGACTGATAGTCGTCATTTTTTACTGAAACATGTCCGATGTCTGACGCATATTTCAAGCCCTGATCAGGGAAAATCTTTTTATTATTCAATAGTCAGATATTTTATATCTGACTATTAAATCCTTCCTTAACAACCATAATAAAAAAGTTGTCCTCGATGGACAGTACTGTTCTTCATTTAACTTCAGGAGTTCCTCAAGGTTCTATTACTAAGTTCCTCAAGGCCCTATACTTTTTTTAAATCTAATGATCTCCTAGAAATTCTCATATCTAAGGTGGTATTATTCATTGATGCTACTACCATTTTTTCTTGCCTTGATAAGAAGCCAACAATCTCTGATTGCTAGGAGGGAAAATTTGAGCTTGAAAAGGATCTAACTTCTGCTACAGTATGGGGCTCTCAGTAGCTGGTGGACTTTAACTTAGATAAAACTCAATTTTTTTCAGCCAATCATGATCTTCCTATATTTATGAAAGGTAATGTACTAAATGAGTCATCTACCCTTCATCTTCTTGGTTCAACTCCTACTTCCCATCTTTCTTGAAAATCATATATGAAATCTGCTAAGATTGCATCTTTTAATAGTGATTAATAGTGATTGCTTGCAGCCTTGATGGAAGTTCAGACAATATTTGAGCCATAGTCTTACAAATGTATTTACAACCTTTAGTCAGTCTTTACATAAAGTCCAGAACTCTCATTAACACTTTCTAAACTATTTACAAGTGCTTAAATAGATCTTGTCTTCCTGCCTTCTGGAAATTGACATCTGTGGTGCCAGAAATGTAAACAAAGTTTACATTGTTTACATAAAAAGTGAAAAGATTCAGAATATATAATAAGGTGGTCAACGCCTTTTTTATATATTTATCATATTTATAACTGTATCATAAAAATATTAATTTTATTTGGTTCTCGCGCTTATAAAAAAACATTCTTTTGTTTAGCTTATTATAAAATTTATAGAAAAGTTATATGATCAATGTTATATAGTTATTTTAAAAAAAAAAAAAAAAGCAATTGAAGCAACTGGGTAACACGAAGAAGGTGCGCTTTGAGTAAAACAACAAAGTTAGTTTTTTTTGGTACATATTATTATTTTGTTTTACTCAAAAAAAATTATGCTTAAACATTTTTATCATTCTCTTTAATATGAACAAAACTTGTCTCAGCACTTTATGATCTCTTTGAACATTAACTGGCAGTTTTGATGGAATTATTTATTAACAAATTGAGTCTGCCCACTAAAACTACTCCTGAATACATATTTAATAAATAGCTTTAAAATAACAAAAATCTTCTTACATATATCCATCCAAGTTTAGTTGCACAAACTTTACAAGATACATCTCTAACCATATGTCTTCCTGTGAGCTAAAACATAACTTATTTAAATGTTATTTTGTACTTTGTAAGTTAATAAGATAAAAAAATTTACTCTATGCAAAGATGTTTAAAAATATATATATATAAACAGATATTGCAAGCACAAAAATTAGTCAACAGTTTTACTAAATCTCAATTATCTGTATGAAAGGTTTAAACTTGTTTTTGAGTTTATAGGCATTATAATAATAAAATATACTTAAGTTATATAAGTTAAAAATATACTTTTATTTTATTTTTAAATTTAAAATATAAAAAAATATAAGCCATGCCTATACTATGGTTAGAAATTTCTAAACACTTAAAACCCAGGATCCCGCAGTTTTTAAATATCTTTAAATCCCAGGATATGGCACTTAACTTTGGGATTTGATTTTTTAAGCCTAAAAAGAAAAATATATTACAACACCCTAAAATATATTACAACACCCTTAATAATTTTTTTTTATTTTCTTATAATTATTTTAATTTTTATTTTATTTGGTTGAATATTTTTAAATTTAAACTTTTAAATTTGATAATTTTCATATTGTAAATTCTTGATAAATATATATATATATATATATATATATATATATATATATATATATATATATATATATATATATATATATATATATATATATATTTTTCTGACAACAATGAATTAGTTGATCTCAATGCTAGTCAAGGAAACCAATTGTGATGTTAATAAGGTAATTTACCTAATCCCTGGACTAGGTAAATGTAATACCGAAATCTTGTGATTAATAATATAACACAGGACTACAAAACGTAGCTTATACAAAGCCGTTTATCAAATGCAATACCATTTAAAAAAAATAGGTGAAGAAAAAACATTTTCATCATGAGAATAATCTTTGCCATCTGAAGAATTGTAGGCCAATTTAATTTTTAATTCTAAGGCTGAGTCAAATAATTCATCTGACGGTTCATCACAAAGTTCTTTGTTGCTTGGTATTTTTTTTTTTTAGGAAAAATAGTAACTGCTTTTGCCCTGTTGTTAATTTCCAAGAGATCAATGGCTTCTTGTAAAGTAACCATTCAACCTGGTCTTTTTTTTGCCTCATTTAAAAGTTTTTTAATATCTATAACTTTTTTAATGTTTATAATTTTAAGCAAATCTTATTGAACAGATTTATACTTCATTAAATAATTTTTATACTGTTTCTTTTTGAGTAAATTTGTTTAAAAGGTATATACTCTGTTCTTTTTTGTTAACAATTTATAATTTTTATAATAAATTTTGTTAAAAAACTGGCTTCTTTTTTACAAATAGCTCTGCCCCATTTAAGAGTCTTTATTTCCTTCATTAAATATGCTTAACTTAAATTTATTGTATGTTTTTTTATAAAGGTATGCGTACAAAGTGTTACATAAGTTTTAGTAACTTTCATTAAATTTTTAGGATTTTTTGGATAGAGAATGTTTTCTTTATAATAATATTTTAATGTTTTATATTGACCTTTTTTCTTTAGAATATTAAATATATAAAAAAAATTAAAACAGTTCGAGAAGTTTCAATTTTTTCAAGTTTCTTCATTTGAAGCAAATATATGATTGTTTATAGAGGTCTTTTTATTAATAGTTTTGTATTTACTTATTAATTGCAAATCATGCATTAAATGCGTTTCAAAGTAATGAAAGGGATTTTTTGAGGAATGATTACATTTTACTATTTAATGCTAGGAGTATTTGCTAAACAGACAGCCCTTATAATTTTTTCAATTTGCTTTATTTATGAGTTCTTATCTTTAAAAATTATATTAATTTTATTAATTACTTTTTGCTTGTTTTTTATCAAATACTAATAATATTTTGTCAATAATTATTAATAACTACATTAAATATATAACATTATTCAGTTATAAAGATTATATCAATTTATTTATAACTTTAGTTTAAGTTCTTGATAGAAAAATAATATCTTTACACATTGTTATTGTATTTTAAAGAGGTAGAATATAATTAGATTATTATATTATACTCTGTTTTATTTGCTTACACTTTATTTAGATAAGTTAAGAAAGAAAACTGAAGTTCAATCTTGAAATAAAAGTGCAACATTTATCATATTAAACATCATTTTTACACACTCCTTTGATGCATAGTTATATCTGATAATTAAAGAAGTAAAACTATAGGCCCTTGTTGAAATTAAAGAAACGAGGCAAGGCAAAATGAATTTAAGCGTCGCCAAAATGAAAGAGATGAGCTTAGGCTAGCTGAGGTAAATTGTCGTTGAAATGAAAGAGGTTAGCCTAGGTGAGCTGAAATAAACAGCCGTAGAAATAAAAGATAGAGGGAAGATACTACTTATAAAAAATCTAATATTAAAAAATAGTAATAATAAAAAGAATTAATCAATGTATTGAGTCTATAAGTGAGTACAACATTTTTCTTGTTGTAGCAGAAGAAGCTGTAGCTACATAAAAATAAAAATTTCAATATTTTCTTATTTGAATATATATATATATATATATATATATATATATATATATATATATATATATATATATATATATATATATATATATATATATATATTCAAATAAGAAAATATTAAATAATTATAAAAATTATTTAAGACACTTTTATTAACAATAATCAATGACAATAAAAAAAAGGTCATGGTCAAACATTTGATAAAGTTGCTATTAATCTCAAAAAACCTTAGTTTTCATACAACCAATTCTATGTAACATTTTCTAAAACCAAGACATTTGCATAACATCTACATAATATTTGCATATACACATGTATAAACAAGGTATATCATTGAATTAAAATTTCACAAATGTTATATTTGTAAATGTTCTTAATTTATAGTTTTTTACAAATAATTTTATGTCTCATATAATGTAGTAATATTTGTTTTTATTATTTTTAATATAAGGCTATATGGGTTTACATTTTGTTAGTGTTTCTATGTGTGTGCTTTTAGTAGTTTAAATATGAACATTAAACTCTGGATAACTCAATAACCCTTAAGTTAAACTAATTTTAAAATTTCATTTATTTATGGATTATACTGCCAATAACTCTAGCATTCTCTAACAAGCTAATTTCTTGGTTCACTTTAAGGTTTGAGTAATATAGAGTTGACTGTAATATGTTATGTTATTTGTTAATTTTGTGATGTTATTGTTGTGCTGTTTTGTGTTGATAGATTAGATGACTTGGTTTACTTTCACATCAGGGTCTTTGACTTAAAATGATTATTGGGTAGTTTCATTACTGAAATTAACTACATATAATCAAGCCTTCCCAGGAAAGGCGTGCGGTTTTTTGTCTCGTATGACCACATGCGACTGTAATATTTTAGAAAACGTGAACACGGCCGTTTGCAAGTTTTATGATAATGCTGAAAAAGTTTCAAAAACAAAAAAACAAAACTAACATAATAAAAAGAGATTGAAATAGAAAAAAATAAAAACAAATTAATAATTTAAATAATTTGTGTACTGTTTTTATTTTTGTTTCCTTAGAGTTACATTCAGCAACAAAATTAGATAAAGCGAAGCAAAAAAAAAAACAGTTTAAAGTCTACAATAAAAAGAATGATTTTCCTTTTCTTAAATTTTTTTAAGAGGATAGCAAAAATACAAATTGCAATGTGTTTGTAAAATTTATTTTTATAACTTTAATGTAACAGCAAGGGTTGAATTAAGCAAATGCAAAACGCAAAATCTTGAAAAATATCTAGTATTCAAAATTTTAGTTTATACAAATCTGTGTTCGTTGTTTTTAAGGGGAGAATCAACTTAAATTTGTTAGCGAAAAAATAAAAAATTAAACAATAAACTTACGATTACAAAAGTAATAACACTCTAGTCACTAACTGCATTACTAAAGTGATAACACTATAATAGTGTTATTACTTTTATAACGCACTTATAACTTTTAAAATTCATTTTTTGTTCAAGCAACATTAGTATTTCCAAATTTTAATTGAAATAGAAAAATATCTAGAAGAATAAAGTGGATGTTCAAATAAAATTAAAACTAAAGTAACTTATAAAATCGTGACAAACAACTTTATGAAAACGTATCGTATTAAAAGTTTAGCATTATGAAAAACGTTACTAATGGACCGTAAAAACGAGCGTTAATTTTAAAATTAACCAATAAAAATTTTTTATTGGTTGATTTTAAAATTAACGCGTGTAACGTCTTTCATAATGCTATACTTTTTATAAAGTACTTTTTTATAACGTTGTTTAAGTGATATGTGAAAGTTCCTGAAATTGTTAATAATATTTGAATATCCGCTTTATTTTTTCTAGATGCTTTTCTACTTTAATAAATGTTTGGAATTAATAATGTTGTTTGAACAAAGAATGAACTTTAAAAGTAATAAGTGCTTTATAAATGTAATAACACTATTATAGTTTTATTACTTTTGTAATGCAGTTAGTGACTAAAGTGTTAATACTTTTGTAGTCGTAAGTTTATTTTTTTTTGTTTTGTTTTTTGTAACTTTCTCGCTAGCAACCTTTTAATAATTTGCTCCTTATAAACAAAGTACACAGCTTTGCATGAAGTAATATTTTAAAGACCTAATATTTTACCAGAGTTTGCAAACGCGATCGTATAATTTAACTCTTGATATAAACTTGTTACATTATAATTGTACAATATATTTTACAAACAGATGACGATCTATATTTTCTCTTTCCTCTTTAAAAGTAAAAAAACATAAAATATGGGAAAGTCATCCTTTTCTAAAGTCTAAAACCGTTTTTTTTTTTTTTTAATTCTTTGACAAGATGAATTTTGTTGCCGATAATAATAGCCACTAAGAAAAAACAAAAATAAAAACAACACACAAATTATTTACACTATTATTATTGTTTTCTATTTAAGTTTACTTAAATTTCTTATGCAGTTATTAAATTTAAAACAATTTTTCAGTAACGCATATAATATAACTTGCGCAAACGGCCGTGATCACACTCTCTAATTTGAATAACGTCTACGTGGTTGTACAAGGAAAAAAACCGCACGCCTTTCCTGGGAAGGCTTGTATAATCATTCACTAAATGCTAACGCTTCAGTTTTCAAATAGAAACAAAAGTATATCTTTATTGTGATCATTTATTTTGAGCCTTGCTTTTTTAAAAAGAGTTGTTAATCCCAATTTGCAACAACAAATCTTGAAATTTCACAAAAGATAAACAACCTCACAAAGTAAGTTATCTGTTTAGTCATATTTTGGTGTTTTCAAATACGGTGTATTATATAGGGTACATAACAAATAAATACGTATCTAAGTATATTCAATAATAATTTTGTTCCATTTTTAGGTCAAATTACTTCTCCTATGACTGATTTTTAAAGTTCCTACATAATTTAACAAATGTTCTGAATGTTGATTGTATTCAAAAAGCTAAAACGAAGCTTGATAATTTTCATAACATTTACTAAAAGATATATAATAATGAAAGAATGTTTCAAATTAAATTGTTTTTATAAGTATTTTTGAATAAAAAAATTTTTTGTATTTTTTTTTTTAAGTTTGTTTTTTTATTTTAACTCAAGAAAAATTTTTTCTCTTTGTTTCTCAAATTAATTTCTATATTTTTTATCTTCGGAATTATTGTTTTGAATGGATATATTGGCTATTTTTCTTTGTTTTTATATTTCCCTTATCTTTTTATATGTGAATGAAAATTATTTATACTTTTATCACCTTTTGAATGATCAAGACGGTTTCCATTTGTATTAAGTATTGATTGCACAAACAACAAGTTTAAAAATTTATTTGCCTAATTTTCCTCAGTAAAATTGTATGAATTTATATTAAAAGTTTTTTTACAGAGGGGTTTTTTAAAAATTATCAAACAAACAAACAAGCTAACTTATTTAAAAAACTAGGTCTCTTGGGCCTATTTTTTAATGTCCAAATTTGCTTTTTAAATAAATTTTTTTGAGAGAGTTAAAATGTTATTATCATAGCAACACAACTGTCTTATATGCTAAAGATACTTTTATTATATAGAAAATATTAAAGTAAATAAGTAATAATATAACAAGTAAATATAATAAATAGTTCTAAAGTAAATTAAAAATTAACCAGAAGGCAAGAACTTTAGGTCAGTAAAATGCAAACTGCGTACTTTTTAACTTTAGGTCAGTAAAATGCAAACTGCGTACTTTTAAGCGAACTAAGAATTTAATGAGCACAACAGTCATGATATTTAAAAGATTTGTTCATCAATTTTTTAAATTTAATAAAATGGTATTCAATATATTTTATTTAAATTAAACTGTTTTCTTTTAAATTAATTATAATTTAACAAGCATTAGATTTATGGTTTGGAAAAAAAGTTGCATTTTACCAATTACCAAAACTTTAAATTGATTTATTTTTTGACAAATAACAAGACAAATAACTTAAACATACCATGCCAAAAAAAATATAAGAATGAAAATTGGAGTCTCCATTTTGATGGGAAATATTTGAACCATAAAAAACATCAAGCATTGGATCTGAAAAATGCTACAAAAAATTGACGATCACCACTATTACTTGTCTGAAGAAACATTGGATTAAATAATCATCTTACTTGTCTGAAGTCAGGTTCGATTGAAGAATTATCAACTATTGTTAACATCCAGCACAGCAATATGTGCTGAAGTAGCAGTAAATGTTCCTGAAAACATGTCTTGATGAATTAACACTGAACAGTGTGTCCACTGAGCAGTGTTAAAATAGTGAACATTGCTCAAAAATCAATGTTACCAAAAAAAACTTAATTTAGTTGATATTGAAAGCCAAATAAATTTCCAGTTCTTTAAAAAAAAAATGAATTCAAAAGCATGATTTGTTCAGAAAATATACTAGTTTGAATTACGTAAATTCATTGCAAAAGATATGTAATAGGTATAATGATTCATAAAAGTCATTTTTGACATTATATAAGAAAAAATGTCACTATATAAGCAGTGCTAATGTGATAATTGTATGTAGAAACAATCTTAGACTGCTGTTTATGGAAAATGTAAATGTTAACTTCATAGATTATTGCACAAATTTTTTTTTACATTTTATATCTAATGAAACAACTATTATTTAGCAAAATTTTGGTGTTTTTTAACTAATTTTTTATCAGAAAAAATAATTTATCTCAAAAAGTAATTTATCTCAAAAAATAATTTATCTCAAAAAGGGGAAAATGTGTTCAGTAAAAATATGTCTAGAAATTAAAATAAGGATTAAGAACAATTTTTTACCAACCCCCTAGCCCTATTTTATATTGAAATTTTTTTTGACCAAATTTATTCTAGTTAGTACAACCATTATCAAAAATTATTACTAGTTAGTACAACCATTATTATTGCAGCATTGAAATCTGTTTTAAAATGAATGAATAGCAAGAGTTAAAATCAAAACTGAGGGCTTTGTGGTGTATATAATATAATATTTTTACTTATCACGTAAACTTGTTTATATTTTGAATTATTTTATTTCAAGTTTAAATCATTTTGTTTAAAAAATTATTAGATAATGAACCAAGAAAATATTTATATCTTTAGTTTAATAACAATGAAGCTCACTAAATGTGACTTATTTGAAATTTTCATTGCTGAGGAAAAGAAACAACCAAAAAGCAAAATTTCTGCAAATACAATAGGTTGTATACTTGTAATTGCTAAGGCACTTGAATCCGATAAATTGATATTTGCACAAAAAACAGTAGTTCAGAATAGCTGGCAAAGATCTGCATCTGAAGAAAAACAAACTTAAAAAAATGGGCTATGCTGACATACAATTCAAAGCTGGTAAGGAAACCATGCTTCAAGAGTATGTTAAAGAACAATTCTTTTAATAAGTTTCCAATAAAAACAATTTAAACAGTTTGTGCTCTTGGTAGGCATTCATATACAAACCGAAAAAAAAATTTTCAACTGCTGGTTTTAATATATTGCGTAGTTAGAAATGTTCAAAAGTTATGAACCAATGCCTGTGAAAACAGCTGTTTGGCCCACTGTGCACTAAGAAACTTAATTTAAAATTAATGGAGCTAGAAGGGCTTTAGTACATCAACTGTTTGAGTCTGCTATTATCTAGATATAATATATATATATATATATATATATATATATATATATATATATATATATATATATATATATATATATATATATATATATATATATATATTTCATTCATTTATGACAAAAACATTTTTTTCATTCTTTGTTTCTTCCTTTTCTGAAAAAAATTGTTAAGACTTAAATTGGCAACTTTAGGTGAGCAATATATATAAGAACAGCACCAATTTGATGAGAATATTTGATGAGAATATTAGAGAACTTTTTGGAGAAATTATAATTGTAACATTACCTATAAATGCTCTAATATCATAATAATTAATTTCTCTGTTTAATTTTGTTTAGAAAATATGGACACCATGTGCTGCTGTCTAGATTGAATGAACATAGCATATTTACACCAGCATAGTACATAGTAAAATTGAGTGCAAACCCAAAATTTTAGCAGTAAAAGAAAGAACATTAGTCCCATTTCAAGGGAAACAGTTTGTTGTTACTTAATAATAATGAGTTTATTTGTGAAGAAAAAAAATTAATCAGTAAACTGCTAACCATTACACGATCTTGAACTTCACTGCAATTTAAGTTAACACTAAAAAGTAAAAAAAGAAAAATTAAAGGCTTGTATGTAATAACAATCTAATAATAAAATAGCAACAATAAAAACAAACAATAACAACAAACAACAATAAAAAAAAACAACAACTAGGGTACAATAACAATAATAACTACTAGGAGCTCGACAAGTCTATACCAAACTTACCATTTCTATAGTTATTCCTTACTTCAATAATATATATATATATATATATATATATATATATATATATATATATATATATATATATATATATATATATATATATATATAAATATATATATATATATATATATATATATATATATATATATATATATATATATATATATATATATGTATATATAAAAGTGGTGCAACTCTTGCTTGCCATTAACTCGAGTACAATAGCTATCATGAGTACCATATCAAAAACTAGTATACAAAATTTCTTTTTAAATAAATGGTATGTTGCTGCTCATTCGTGTGTGTTTAGACAGCTTTTTAACATTATTATATTATTTTTTTAAATAATTAAAATTTTAATGTCATTTTAATAGCATGATAAAATTTATATATAAAATTGAAAATACATCACTTACGGTGGCATACTATTTATTTAACTTATTAAAATCTTAATAAATATAAAAAAATAAATAGTTAATTTAAGCAATTGCTTATTCATTTTGCTTATCTTTATAGCATATGGCTTTTACAGAAAAAAAATTAATATATTTTGAATAAACCCTCAGTTGATGTAGCGGCATTCTTTTGCGGAAGCAGGCTATAAAATAGTTGGTGTATGTACTGAAGCCCCCGGCAGCAGACATAATTAATATTATTTTTTATTTTATTTTTGTTACTATTCATTAAACTCCTTTAGGACATTATTCCTTTTTTCTATTTTTGACACTATTTATTAAATTCTTTTGTGAAATTATTTCTTTTTTTTTTTTTTTTTTGACACTATTCATTAAGCTCATTTGCGACATTATTTCTTATTCTGTTATTCGACGATAAATAATGTGACAATTTGCGACACTGTTCCTTTTTTACATTTTCAACACTCAAATTTGTGACAATAAAAATTTGCAACACTATTCCACCACACGTTACCAAGATCCCTTATTTACAATCATGATGTCATTGCTGCATAATATTATAAAAAAAATTTATATTTACCAAAAAAGTGATTGCAATGGTGAGTCATAACTAAGTTGTCATTATGCCTGTTTAGAATTTTATTTTTTGGGTAGCAAGATTGCAACCTATCTATTTCAATTGCCTCCCTGATTTTTCTAGTATAATTATTTGGGATAACTGAAAATGTTTTATTCTAATTAATTGCACTTTTTTTGTGTGCACTCAAAATGTTGTGCATGCTCAACATTTCTTGATGGTTTCAAGTTTCATGCACTACATTGCAAAGGTACAATTAATTGGATTAATAAAAAAAACTTTAATATTAGTTTTAACTTTAATATTAAGCAGCAATGACATCATTATTGTAAATAAGGAATTTTTGCAACATATTTTAGTTTGAAAATGGCTCTAACTATATGAGCCGAAATAGCACATATAATTTTAATAAATTAATGTTATTAATAAAATTTTAATAAGTTGATGATGTATTTCGATAGATATATATATATATATATTATATATATATATATATATATATATATATATATATATATATATATACATATATATATATATATATATATATATATACATATATATATATATATATATATATATATATATATATATATATATATATATATATATATATATATATATATATATATATATATATATATATATATATACACACAGGCTTTTAAAGGAAGGCGTGTGATCGCACTTGTTTATATGACCACGCAAAAAATAATGTTTTAATGATTTGACCACAGCTTTTGACATATTTTCAAAATTTAAAAATGCATTACAAAAACTTACTTAAACTTATCTAAAAAAAAAATTGTATAAAGAAAAAAATCTTAATGAAAGAGTAAATAAAAAAAATACTTAGTTAAAGCAAAAACACAAAAAAATAAATATATATATAACCTAACTAAAACAAAACTCATCAAACTAAAATGCTTAGTTTATTTAATTTACGCATTAAAAAACCATTTCAATCTTTGTTTTAAAATTTGCACTTTTTTTATTTTATTTAATATGTTTCAAAAGATAAACATAAAAAATACGTAATTATATAAATAAAAAAAAGAAACAGTTTATTAATACTTATTTTAAAAATTAATTATAAGTGTTTTGTTATCTAATTGAAAAGTGTTTCGATAATATAAAAGCATTTAAGATTTAATCAAACTTATTTAATAGTAATGGCTTTCTAAAACTCTTTTTTTCAACAAAATTTTGTTTATCTTTTTAAATGTATTAACTTCAATTATTCTTATATTAAAACTCGTTTAAGAGACTTTCGTAGTTGTTGAATCATCGTAGTCATCGTTTATAAAAACAAAACAATTTTTTATTTTTTAATAGCGTTTATTATAGAAATGCCCACTTAAACAATTTATATATTATAAATTAAAAAAATATACACAGCTGTCAATTATGTTAAAATATTTTTTTTTTAAAAACCATTATCAGTAAGTTGTTACTTTATATAAAAGCATTTTGCTGATATTAAAACATTTGTTAAGAAATTTTGATGTAATTAATTTCACTTTTTCAGAATATTTTTCATTTAGCGTGTTTTTAAAATGATTTTTAAATTAGCCGCGGTCAAATCATCATAGCAAAATGTAATTTGCCTGGTCATACGTGCAATCGCACGCCTTCCTGTGAAAGCCTGATTTTAAACATGCATATAAATTAGGGTGTTTCAAAAAAAGATCATGTCTTCATAAAAAAAAAGGGCCCAAGCTTATCATCTGCACAAACCATGATTTAGTACTTTAAATTTTTTTTTTTTAATTTTTTAAAATTCTAAGGGTCCCTTCAGGGGGTAAAATAGGCAATTTTTAGGGCATTTTGCACCATTTTTAAAACTGTTTGAAGGAAGTTTTGACATTAAAATTTTTGATTTTTTTTTTATATTTATGCTTGTTAAGATTTACTTAATCTAAATAAAATGGGCTCTACTCTCAAAAAAAACTCAAAAAAAAAACTCAAAAAAATTGTTTCAAAAAACCCTAAAATCCATAAATATTTAGGAAAGCTCATAAAAATACAAAACATCCTTAAAATTTTCTTGAAACTCAGAAAAGTACATTATTTTTTTATTTATTTTTGATACAGTACAATATTGATTTCTCACTTATAATCAGCTTCAGGAACTATTTTGGGAAATATATAAAAGAGAGGGCCTGGACAGGGAAAGAAGATACTAAAAAAAAAATTAATTAAATTATAAAAAATTTCAACTTAATAATAAAGTTTCATTTAAATTAAAATACAGCAAATCCAGTAAATTTATGAGTTTTTTTATTCTTTCTAAAAGAAGTGGTATTAACAAAAAAATGTACATAAAAAACTACACTTTATTTATGTTTGTACAAGCGGCTTTTTTGTAATCCATTTTATTCTTCCTGTTTCTGTTTTTCTTGTAACTATTTGTAAAGAGAAAAGTATCCTGCCTTTTTTCCTCAGAATATGCTCTATTTATTAGGTCTTGAACTAACTGCCCTCTCAGAACAGTCATTAACAGCATCAAGTCCCTTAACTGTTGCTCTAAATTCTAGATAAAAATTGTTGAATTTCCAAAATTCTGGTGGAGTCTTCATCCATTGAGTTTCTGCCTTTCCATGCCTGACCATGCCAAAAACTAGCCACGACTTTTCTGTTATTAATGGAGTTAAACTAGGAGGCTCATCTTAACTTTTTTTCAAGCTCGACGGCTCCGCAGAAAAACAAAGCTGACTCTGGCAATGATCAAGAAACGTTTGGCATGGGGAAAGCAACACAAGAATTTCACTGAAAATGATTGGAATCAGGAGTGTTTCAGTGATGAATTGTCCTTTTACATCATGGATGAGGAAGTAGCTTATGTACACAGGAGACCTGGTGAAGAATTTTATCCTGACTGTGTTACAAAGACAGTAAAGCATCCTATGCATGTCATGGTCCGAAAAGTGATGTTATTTTGTATATTGTTTTATTAAAATGATTGGTTATGTTGTGAGATTTATAATATAAATATCTATAATAATATAAATAAATATCATCCCAGTGTTTTTTTATGATTAATTTTAATGTTGTTATTTTTATATATATATTAAATAATTTAGTTATTAATTAAATAAATACATTATAATATAAATTTTTTATTATTATGCATTTATTTAATTAATAACTAAATTATTAAACATAGATAAAAAAAAAAAAAAGCATAAAAATTAATTATAAAAAAACATTAGAATGAAATAAAATATTTTTAAAATGCTAACCGGTTTATTTGTCTTTTTATAGCTAAAAAACAAATACTTTCTCCAGAATGAAGGAACAAAATAAAAGTTCAGTGAAAATACCAAAAATTATTATCAAAACATAATAATTTATATTTCTCAAAAAGCTTGCAAAAGACTATCTAGGCAGACAACCCTGTAGCCTGCCAAGTCTATTTTAGACAGGCTATTTATAGCTCCTGCACTTATTTGCTACAGCTGAAGCCTATTTATATATATATATATATATATATATATATATATATATATATATATATATATATATATATATATATATATATATATATATATATATGTATATATATATATATAATAAATATAAAATAAAATGTAACAAATGTAAAAAAAACATACACTTTATTGAACAAAAATGCTCTTCCAGTAGCACCAGTAAATCTCTTAAATGAAATAAAAATATTATTTTTTAAAGCACCAACATCATAACTTATTCATACTTGCAGTGATAAAGAAGTAAAATATCAACATATAACTTATTTATACATACTCACAGTGAAAAGTAAAACATCAACATATTATTTATTTATTCATACTAGCAGTGAAAAAGAAGTAAAACATCGACATAAAATTTATTTATTCATAATCGCAGTGAAAAAGAAGTAAATTATCAACATTCTGTTCATTTATTCATACTCACAGTGAAAAAGAAGTACAACTTTAGATTTCAAAAGAAACTTATAAAAAAAATAAGGTGATTTAGAATTTAGCCAAACAAATTTTTTAACTTGAGTGGAAGCTTTAAATTTTTTATAACTTTAAGTAAACAACTCATAAACATTATTAAATTCAAATTTTTTTGACAAATATTTAAAAAAAAAAAAAAACTTTTTAAAATTTTTTAATATATTCTTGCAATGACTAATATAAAATAATTAGGCTCTCTGTCTAGTTTTTATTTTTAAAATAAGTCCTAAACAAAAGAGGAAAAATTTATTTTTTTATACAAAAAAAAATTGTTTTCATGACAACAGTATGGTTTTATTGTAGGGTAATTCCAAGAAAAACTGGGACAAAAAATTGAAATTTTTCAGTCACCTTCTCAGATTTCTTTCAAATTTTACCTAGTGGTACCTATCAATGTAACATGAAAAAATGTTTGATCTCCCAAATCCAATCGGTTAAAAAGTTATGGCATTTTGAAATTTAGCCTAAAACACCCTATTTTTTTCCACATCCGCCATTATAGACTTTGTAGTAGTACTTTTTAAGATCTAGTGGAAGAATGAAGCTAAAAGTTAGTACCTGACCATTTTCGAGGGTGCTGAATTCAAAAATGTAGAGAAAATAGTGAAATATAAATTTTTTGATGGGTATTATTTGATTTTAAAATGGTCAGTCAAATTTTTTGTTCTGTTATAATGGGTTGTGCTTTCATTAACTCCTGAAGTTGCCCATGTTTCATGGATTAAATTTTTTTTTCAAATGAAGTAGGTGATCCTAGGCTATCTTTATAAAAAAGATGGTTTTGGTTTCTTAAAGCCTTATAAAGATATATCATTTTGAAATTTAGAAAAAAAACTCCTTATTTGGACTCAAATTCTATGTCATAGATTTTTTAGCAATTGCAAAAGAAAATAACCTAATTCAAAATGTTTAATAACTTTTTTTTTTATTTTGTAATGGTAAAAAAATCACTTTACCCTAATGTTTACCTTTTAAATTTACTCATGGTTTCAGTTGTGATGTGAAAAACAGTTTATTGACGTTGGTTTTGATATATAAATGAAGTTCTGTGAAGAGAATTGTCATGTAAAAATATAGTTTTGCAATGCCTGCTAAGATATATAAATATAGATTTGTGACATTAGCTATGTCGTATTAATATAGTTTTAAAACACCAGTTGTTTAAGCTTAAAATTATTTTAATTTTAGATTAAATAATTATCGAATCTTGTTTGTTAATTCAGTTTCTTAGTCATTACAAACAACCAACAGTGCTCCATTTAAATCACGCTAGAAAGTAAATGTCATGTTGCAACATATACATTGTTGCTTGGAATCGAACCTTTTGAAGATATTTCTGAATATGAAAGAGAAATATTAATGTGAAGACTCGTCTATCAATAATCATTGTCAAACCAACAACTTGTCTCCATCATAAACATGTTTATTAGAAGCATTATGCACCTACATTAACACGATGCTGCAATCCATTCAATAGTCATAACAAAGTTATTACAATAATGAAACTCTTTGCAACCAAATTCTATTTAAGCTAAATTTAACCTAACTTTTAGCCGACTTCTGAAAGTGCACTTTAAACTTTAAATGGTTTTATTCAAATTTTTATATATATTAAAGGAGTTCTTCCTGTTTTTTAAGGCAGTCTTTGTGAAATCAACTTGGATACAGCAAAGCATTTATGCAGAAAAAGCAAATTCATAGTACCAGGCGAAAAACTTTGTCCATAATGCAAACATAAATTAGCATCAATTGAAGAATCAGAAGAGAACAAGTTGGAGATAAAATTAACTGAAGATAATATGGAAAAAGACTGGAATCAGTCTTTTTCCATATGGAATAATACTGGAATCAACAAGATCATTGCTCAACAGCACTTTGTGTGAACTTGAAGTGTCTCCGCTAAAAGTTCATCTACCAAAAACCTCTAACAAGCCTTCACTTGGAAAAAGAATGATAAAGAAAATTGAAGAAACAGTTGTTAAGAAACTTGCAACTGCTCTGGATGTCACCGAGTCTGATCTTGTAGCATCAAACAACAATAAATTTCTAAAGAAAATTCAAACCAAAGCTGGCAATTTAGACTTCCTTGTTAAATGCATCAAAGAAAAACTTTCAAAGTCTCTAACAGAAGGCAGCAACTTCAAATTTTGACATTGACTCCAAAATCTTGGTCTATCAGAAAGGCAGCAAAAGAGTTTTCAGTTTCCAAACACAAAATTCAAAATGCAAAGCTTTTACGTGAACAAAAAGGCATCATAGCATACCTTAATGTGGTTGCAAGGCATCAAATCAGTAAAGATGTTATAGCACTTGTAAAGCTTTTTTACTGTGACGATGAGTATTCAAGGCAAATGCCAGGTAAAAAAAACTGTGTAAGTGTTAGGAAAAAAAAATACATGTCAAAAAAATTGATTTTATGTAACTTAAATGTGGCATATAAGATTAAATACTTAGACCATAAAATTGGATTTTCTAAAAATTGCAGTCTTTGGCCTAAGTGGTGCATCCTTGCTAGTCCAAAAGGCACACATTCTGTTTGTGTGTGTACAATACACCAAAATGTTAAATTTATGTTGAGTGCTGTAGGCCTTAAAACATCTTACCATGAAATCATTGAAAAGATTGTCTGCAGCAGAAAATCAAAAGCTTGAATGATTCACCGATGCAATAGTTGTCCGGCATACACACTGCCCAAAGTTATTTCCAGCAATATCTCACACAAAATAATGATCCAAACAGTGGACAAAGACAGATAGGACCGAACTATTAACAATAAAACTTCCCTTAAATGAATTCATAGAGCTCCTGTGTGAAAAACTTGATAAAATTACTTCTCATTCATTTATAGCAAAATCACAATCTAGCTATCTAAAGCATCTCAAAGAAACAATTAGTATTGATGAGGCTATTGTACTAACAGATTTTGCAGAGAATTACACTTTTGTAGTACAAGACAAGATACAGAATTACCATTGGAGCAAGAGTCAATGTTTTCTTCATCCAGTTGTCATCTAATACAAGTAAATGAAATTGAAAATATCTTCTTTTTGTGTAATTTCAGATTATTTGAAACATGATGTTGGATTTATCAATGAAATTATGCATAAAACCATTAATCATATAAAAACTCATCTTTGTCCTGCAATTAAAAAAAGTCATTATTTTTTCTGATGGCTGTGCAGGGCAGTATAAAAATTGCAAACATTTTTACAACTTATGTCACCATGCTCAAGATTTTTCTGTTTGGTGCATCTGGAAATTCTTTGCAACAAGCCATGGTAAATTTCCATGCAATGGAATAGGTGGCACTGTTAAAAGGCTTGTTGCAACTGCTAGCTTGCAGAGTCCAACCACAGGTCAAATACTGTCTTCTCAAGCAATGTTTGAATACTGTCAAAAGTCAATCAGTGGGATTACATTTGTGTACATCCCTGCTGAAGAAATGGAGCTAGAGTCGTTTGATAACTCTAAACTCTAAACTCTTGTACTCTCCTAAAATGTAGGATGCAATTTTATTTTTCTGAGTTGTGAATGGAACTCTTGTTGAAGAATACAATCGTTTTAAGGGAGGCTTATCTGATTTAGTTTTATTTGCCTTACAGTCTCCAAACTTAGGGGTTGTAGACCTACTTTGGTTTCCAAAACAGCTTGGTGTTGGAAAGAAAGACTCAATTGGAACTTGTGGAATAGCAGATGATAAACATATTTTTTTCTCTTTTTTCATATCTTGAATAGGTAAGTTTTCAGGAATATCTTCTTCCATCATTAGTTCAGTTTGAACTTTCTTCTGTTTAAAAGGCATATCGTTCAAATATTTGTTTTTTATTTGATCGCCACATTTCATACATTTTGCAATGTGCTCAGTCATTCGAGTGCCATTTTTTGATAGCTTTAAGCTCCAAAATTTGCATATAACTTGTTGAATTTTAGAACCTCCAGATTCTAAAGGTGCCATTGAACAATGTAGCTACAAAACATTTCTTTCTGCCTGGCATATTTTTTTTTAGATTTCTTTTTTTTTTTTTAATTAAAAATAATTAATAGATTACAAATTGTTTAATATAAATGTTTTTTCATTAGACAAAGTTAATCATTGTGTTATTTTTATTTACTTGAATATTGTTTGAATAAATAAAATTTTAGCTATCTAATTGCAATTTAAAATAAAATAAAGAAATTAAATATTAAAAATTTAAAAAAGTAATATACAAAAGTAAATAAACGTTAAAGTAAATTTTATTTAACAGTTGCTTCATTTTTGTATTTTGCAATGCAGTGTTATTTCATTCATTTTTATGAATGAAATAACACTGCTAAAATAACATTTTTATTTCCTTCATTCAGTAGTATTATACTTACAATCAACTAGTAGCTAATAGTATAGTTTTTTTGAGATTTATTTAAAAAATTACTTTTTTAAATATTTAATACTGTTTTTTTTTAATATTGGTGATTAGTTTGTAACAGTTATTATATAAGTTAATATGCATTTTATTAAATAGAAAACATTTGTATTTTGTAGGTTTAAGGGCACTGGAACTGTTTCAAGTATTATTATTATCTAAAATTTAATGAATACTAAAAAAAAGCAAAAAAAACTATAAAAAACATGTTTTTAGAACCAGTCTGTTTTTTTTTGCAAAAAAAAACGTGTTTTTTTTTAAAAAAAACACACCGTTTTTTTTGGGGTTGCAAC